TGTGGCTGGAGTGTCCTCAGGGACACAGTGCAAAGCAAGACACAGGCGCAGCCTGGGAGGGTTTGTGAGCAATTGCGAGGGCTCCATCAGCTGCTTCCCGAGCTGCGCCCAGAGGAGCTGGTTGTTACTCTGGATTCTTGGAAGTCCTGCACTTGTGTGGGCAGAAGGAACGCTTTCTACTAAAGCTTTTTGTCACCACCTGAGTGGGGGTGGGGCGCAGGTGCAGGCTGGGATGCAGGCTGGGATGAGGCCTTCACCCTGTGATAGCTAGTCCCCTCTGCCCTGCCTCTGGGAGCTTCCTCCCCTCCCAGACACCTCACCCACAGCCTCACCCCTCAGCCCGCCTCCTCTGACTTGAGGGAATTTGAAACCGACTAAGCCGGTTTTCTTGTTGGCACCAAGAACTCACATCCAAGAGATCCGCATGACAAAAGTTCTGCTGTGAAGGATGTGGCCTCAAAGGGCCCCAGTTTTACAAACGTTGAAGAGAGTGCTAAAACAGAGCATTCTAGAAAGAGAAGAGTGGAACATTAAAATGTCCAGAAACCAATACAAAGAGAAAAAAGAATTCACACAACAGGAATGAATGTGTAACTATATTTAGGAGAAGGAGGTATACGTTGCTTCACCAGGGCCTTGTAGCTCAGGGGTTAGAGCACTGGTCTCGTAAACCAGGGGTCGTGAGTTCAATTCTCACCTGGGCCTCAAATCTCAGCTTTTAGTTCCAGTCCTTGGTTTCATTTGATCCCCAGTGCACTCAGTGCAATACTCTACCTTCTCAAAGCAGGAAACTCTAAGATAAGAGCTTCTTATCAATTAGTGCAAATGGCTATTTACATTTTTCTGCTAAGCTCGTTTGTACTGAGTTTCAGTTACTTGCAACGTAAAGGGTACTGATTTAGTGAGTAGTTTTTATCATACGTATCTAAGAGCTCCAGGAGACAGGGTCTCAGTGTGGAGCTCAGAATGATTGGTGAAGCACAGCCCAAGCGACCCAACTGAGTGCACAGCTTGCAAATCCTGCAGGAGGCAGAACAAGAACAAAGAGACGATAAAAATGCCATTTAACCATGCAGTGACCACTCCTGCAGCCTCAATCTATCCACTCACAACTGAAACTGAGCTGCCCACAGCCATCTGAGTGGCTTACACGAATTGTTAAAATCGATGATCTCTGTCGGAAATCAAAATGAACTTCCCCTACGCCACATTTATCTAAATAAGTAATAACCTAGTAACACCCACAGAGTCCCAATAGGCTCCTCCTCAAAGACGTGCTTGGGATTCTGGAAACACCCCAACCCCCTCGAGACCCAGGACGGGCGCCGGGGGTTGACCTCCTCTAAAATCAGGCGGAAGCAGCTCTCGTCGCTGGCGTTTCTGGAACACAGGTGTTCTTGGGAGTCCTCGAGGACTGCAGGCTCCGTGGCCTGAGGGCACCGCTCCTGGCTGCGCGACACCTCTGCTGCGGGTGCAGCACAGCACTTGTCTCCTCCAAACTCTGCAGCTGTTCAAACTCTGGAGCCTTAGAGTTAGGGGTTGCTGGGTCACACGGCCTAATCCTGGCAGCCAGGAGGCGGGACGTCTTTGCTCGGCGGGGGCGGGCTCACCCTGGAGCGGGGTTCTAGTCTGAATCCGGCTCGTTCCTCGGGATTCCAGGCTGCATCACCGCCCTCGGCCAGATGAGGGCGCTTTTTCCCAGCGCCATGGCGTGCCCTTTGTCAGCTAGTGGGTGAAGTGTCCTAGTCTATTTTCTGTTGCTCTCACAAAACACCCACGATTGGACGTGCTACAGAGGAAAGAGGTTTCTGGAGCTCACGGCCTTGGAGGCTGCCAGTCCAAGATCTGGGAGCCCCACTGGTTGGGCCTCTGGGAAGGGTCCCTTCGGCTGTGGCCCAGGATGGCAGATGGCATCAGGGTAAAGTGTGTGCGGAAGACAGGTCCCAACGGCAGGAGAGCAGGCTGAGAAAGCAGAACTTTTTATAGCAACCTGCTCCTGCATAACCTGAGAAGTCACCTCTTCCGGGTCAGCGTGATGAGTTTATGAACTTTTTATTCAGTGAGAGGAATGCATAGGAGAGTGAGGGCTCTATCTAAAAGAGAGGAGGGAATCTGGATTCATACCGAGCAGAGAGCAGGCCAAAGGCCAGCCGCGTGGAGGAGCATGCAGGCCGGGAAGCATGGAGTGAGTGGCCCAAAGGCACGGGGCAGCGAGGGGATCAAGGACAGGGAGGGGAAAAGAAGTGGCCAAGGGAAAAAAGGACCGGGTCCACCGTGCTCCAGGCCTTTAACCCACTTCCAGAGGGGAGTGGTTAATTAGTCTGATAGGCAGGTGGGGTCAGGTAGGGGCATGAGCTAACAGCAGCTGTGGCGAAGGCTGGTCTTCCAGCTCACAAACCTAATCAGTTTTATCCTGTATGCCAATACCACACGTACCACATGCGATACGAACATGGTGTTCTGAATGCTGTGCCCACTCCATCTTGTTTGTCTTGGTAATCTGACATTGGACTTTGATGGAAACTGCTTGGTCTAGAGTGCACCTTTCTGGGTTATCTAATTCTGATTTTACTGGAACTTGTGATTTGTAGATAACTGATAGTAACTTATCCATAGACATAGTTCTTGTCCATAGACATGGGACTGGTGTGGGGCCCAGGAGTTTAAGTCTCTACTTGGGACGCTCTAATCTCATATAGCACTGTTGACCTAAGTCCCTGCTACTCCACTTTTTTTTTTTTTAACGATTTATTCACTTATTTGTTTGAAAGGCAGAGTTACAGGAAGAGAGAGAGAGAGAGAGATTTTCAATCTGCTGGTTCACTCCCAAAATCGCTTGGACTGGGCCAGGCTGATCCAGGAGCTCCAGCTGGGTCTCCCACATGAGTGGCAAGGGCCAGGCACTTGGACCACCTTCTGTTCCAGCTGCTCTACTGAGCCAGCTTCCTGGTAGTGTTCCAGGGAAGACAGAGGAAGACACTCCTGGGCCTCTGCTACCCAAGTGAGAGACTGAGGTGAATTAGGGGCTACTGCCTTGTTCTGGCCCATCCTTGTCTGTTGTGAGCATTTGGGGAGTGAACCTGTGGATCTCTGTCACTCTGCCTTTCAAATTCATAAATAAATAAATCATTAAAAATTTTTAAAATAGATAAAGGAGATTATTTAGTATCTTTTCATAGGAATATGGAGGCCTAAGGAAACTAGCTGATCCTATAAAAGGTATATGTTCTTTTTTCTGTCATTTAGTAGGATATTTTATAACTCTTCAGAGAAAAAAACCAAATGCATAGAAAAGGTTTATTTAGGGCCCACTCCCTAAAAGTCCGCAATAGCCAGAGCTGGCCCTATCTGAAGCTAGGAGCTTCTTCCAGGTCTCCTGCATTCTTCAATTGTTTTCCATCTGACATGGTTAATTATATTATTTATTCTTGTCAAATGAAGTGTGGGTTTTAGATTCTGAGCCCACATTTTATTCTACCCAAAGGTTACCAAAACATGGACACAGGAACATGGAGAGCAAGTCTCCCTTATCCCACAATTGATTTAACCCAGCTAGAACTGGTACTGTCCATGACATCATGTTTAAAAACAAGACATGTTTCACTCAGTTACACTCTCTGTGGCTGGGGGATGAGTCTCGCCCTATCTGAGCCAATCATAGCTTCTTTTCTCATTTGTGCACTCTTGCCAGTCTCTCAGTCCAAAGAGAGACACCAGCAGATCTATCATCGATAACGACTTTTCAAACTTCCGGATCCCTCAGCTGCTCATCAAGGCCCTGGGAGGCACTTGAACAATATGCTTACACAGTCATTTAGGGAATAACCCAGTGGAGGGAAGCCCGCTCGCTCTCGCTCTCTCTCTCTCTCTCCCTATCTCTATCTCTCTCTGTCTCTCTATCTCTCTCTATCTCTATCATCTCTGTTTATCTCTCTCTCTCCTCTCTTTTTTTTTCTAACTCTGTCTTTCCAAATAAATAAATCTTAAAAAAAATAAGGTCACATGTTTATTTGAAAATTGTGTTTGGGGCTGACGTTGTGCTGCGACTCCAGCATCCCATGAGTGCTGGCTCCAGTCTCAGTTTTTCTGCTTCGGATCAAGCTCCCTGCTTGGGCCCTGGCACCCATTTGGGAGACCTGGATGGAGTTCCTGGCTCCTGGGCTTCAGCTTGGCCCACTGTGGCCATCTGGGGTGTGAACCGATGGACGCAAGATCTCTCTCTCTTTCTCTGTAACTGTCTTTCAAACAAATAATTAACACTTAAGCAAAATTGTCTTTATTTTCACAGCGGAGTCACGTAATCTGATCTCTGCTCTCCTTGCAGGGAACTTGCTTTCTTCTGAAGTTTGGTAACTGTGATGATATATCCATTTCGTTGGATTCAGCGTTTTCCTGGAATGTGGCTTTCCTTATGAATATTTACAAATATGCGGATTAAGGCTTTGTTTTTTCTTTGTTTCTTTTTCTCTGCCTCAGACACTGGTCACCTGTTTTGTTTAGATCTCCTTTACCTTTCATTGAAGTCTAACATCTTTGCCTTTTTCCTTTGAATTATGTGAAATGTTCACTACTCCTTTTTTGTCACAGATTCTATCTTTTCCTGGGAGGGGGACAAACTCCCTCACATGTTTCTGATTTGCTACTGTAACATCATCATATAGCTCACTCACTGTCTTTTCTTTGCTCTTCAAGCTCCATTTTTCACTCAATTGTGTTGTTTTTCCTGCAGAGAAAAACTTGTATCTTTACTCTCTCGGGTTTAATGAGTATTGTCTTGCAACTTAAACTGACAAAAGACAGATTAACGAGAGAAAATGTATGCACATCTTGTTTGATGTGAATATTTCTGAAACATTTTATGTATTTTATAATTTACTCATGTATTATTTGAGAGGGAGAGGCAGAGTGTGTGTCTCCCTGTTGGCTGGGGCAGGACCAGCCAGAACCAGGAGCCAGCAGCTCCATGCAGGTCCTCCAGGATCCCACCTTCGTGAGCTGCCTCCCTGGGTGAGCATTAGCAAGGAGCTAGAATTGGGAGCGGAGCTGGGGCTTGAACCCAGGCCCTCCAATATGGAAAGCGATATCTCAGTGGGTGTCTTAACTGCTAGGCAGAACAGCCACCTCTGATGTGAATATTTCTATTTTAATGTGTAGATAGGTGTCTCTCAAAAACAGGAAGTGAGAACTCAAGAAACTGAGTAGGCCTGAGAACTGATATAACATCTGGAAGAGAGGGATAAATAGACAGTGGCAAGACAGAGGAAGGAGGTTTGGGCATTTAGGAGCAGTAAACTGCAGCAAGGAAAATGCAGGGGGGGCTACTCGGGGACAAGGGTTATTTCAGCAAGGATGCTTCATGCACATTCAAGCCTATGCTGCTTCTTGGGCCTTGGGATTCCCCCTGGGACTTCGAGGCAGCCTGGACGACACCCCTGGCTGTCTGGGGTCTCCCCTTTGCTGAGTGCGGATTGTTAGATTCTGGCTCCCAAGGTCTCTACACCGTCCTGAGAACATACCTCCTCTTATCTATCTGTTTTTGTCCTGCTCCTCTGTTTCTCTGGAGACCCCTGGCCTGTGCATGGCCTCCTGTAGGATGTTGACTTCTCAGTGTTGAGAGGGGGCTGTAGGGGGCTGTTCTCAGTGTTGAGAGTTCTCAGTGTTGAGAGGGGGCTGTGTGGGGATCTTTCTGGTAACTCATCCATGCTGTCTTTTTAAAGATTTATTTCTTTATTTGAAAGATGGAGTAACACAGAAAGAGGGACAATGGGAGAGACAGAGACAAAGAGGTCTTATATCAGCTGGGTCACTCCCCAAATGGCCACAATAGCCAGGGCTGGGCCAAACTGAAGCCAGGAGCCAGGAGCTTCATCTGAGTCTCCCACAAAGTTTCAGGGACCAAAGCACTTGGGTCATCTTCCACTGCTTTCCCAGGTACATTAGCAGCAAGCTGGATTGGAAGTGGAGCAGCCAGGACTTTAATTGGCACCCATATGGGACCTGCTAGAGCACAACACTGGGCCCCAACTGATCCATGTTTTCTCATTATTCTCCTCTTTCCTTGTGTTCTGCCAAGCCTTGGCTGGTTGTTGAAGATGGTTCATCCTGGTAGTTCTTCCTCCAGGACTAACTGTGCCCCACAGAGACAATGTCTAAATAGTGAGGCTCGGCAGTTCCACCCTGTGGAAAGCACCGCTCAGTGCTGGGGGTGAATGAGACATTCTGCGACTTTCCCGGGCTACTTTTCCACTTTCCCCAAACCCACACCCTCCAGGCTGGCGGGTACTAGCAGTTGCTGTCAGCTTCCCCCTGAACATTGGGTGCTGTATCTGAGGATGCATACAGGCACAGAACCTGGAGATGTGTCAGTTCTGGGAAACTTCCTTTTAGATTTGTGATTTTAACTGTTCATCCTTTGCATGACCTTTTCAAATGTGTTATGACTTTAACCTTTTCTCATGAGGAGTCCAGACTTTTTTAAAAATTTATTTCTATAGCTTTGGAGATAGTATCTGTGATGATGAGAATCCAAGAAGGGCTTTAGGAATCACTGATTCCTACCTTAAAGCAATAAAATCAACCCCTGGGGAGTGCTAAGCTCATACTCATGAGCAGTTCTCAAAGTCCAAGTTTCTCTAGGGTTGAGAACCACATTCTAAAAATATCAAGCAGGAGAGAAGTGTTCATTGTGATTGGAAACCTTGGATTCCAAGATGACTTGAGAGCAGGCCTGACATGTTTAAAACACTGGTGCAGGGTTTTCACTTTATTCACGTGGTTTTAAGATTCATGGACAGGAAATACACCTAAAGGTAAATAGCAATTGTCTCAGGTTGTTAGATGCCTTCGCACTTTTCTGGAATGCAGACCTGTATCTGATTCTTTCTGGAACCGAACAGTGACAGCCTCGAGCCTTGGCCCTTTGGGGTCATCTTTTCAAGTCAAGAACTTGAGGATCCTTGCGGTCTCCATAATAGGACTTCTCTGTCCTCACAGAGACCTCCTGAAAAGCCACAAATCCTTTATTTTCAGGGCTTCATTCACACATCCAAGACATAACATTATGTCTTCCCTCAACACAGCTTCCACTCGCTGCTGATGACACGAATCTCAGGAGTTAACTGGTGGCTCCTTCAACTCCGCATGATTTCAGGAGGACTTAGTGAAGCTGTTATTTAAGGTGTGGGTAGGGACTAGGGAGGGACGGCGGTGCACCCTAGGGCTATTGACAGCTGCTGGTCACCACCCATAGGCCTGAGGAGAGGAAGGAAAAGGCTCCTGGGTCAGGAGACGGTCATTTTTAGCCACGCGGCTTCCATCTCCTGTCTCCGTGGCCATCACTTCAGGCGCACCAGGCCTATCCCGTGTCTGGCCAGCCCTCCTTGATGAGAGTAGTGTAATACCCAAACACCCAGTGACATAGGAGTCGTCTCCAGTCGTTCCGCCCACTGGCTCCTCTCCCGACCTGGTCTGGGACAGTCTTGTTGAGGGCAGTGTCACACCTTGTGTCGGCTTGCTGCATCCACTGGGCTGCTGTGATGTGGGATAAGGCAGGTAGCTAGATTAGGGCCAGGAGGTAGAACCACCCCCCCATCCTGTCCATCCACCTGTCAGCCAAACAGCTCCCTTCCCCGGGGCTTCTCCCTTCCTGGTCCAGGTCCACTCCCCTCCTCAGCCATGCCCACGTGAGAGTGTTTGCTATCGCACCTTTGAACAGACTTCACGCTTCTTGGGCACCGCATACTGTCTGTACTTAGAATGCTTAAGTAGAAGGCCAGCACTTGGATCCCATTAAATCCCAGCTCCCCCACTTCACCACGACAAAATGTGAGACTGGCGATGGACGGAGAGCAGAAACGCGTTCAGAGCTCCAGATCCAGGCAGCAGGTTCAGCGCCCGTGAGGGCAGAAGGGCGCAGCTCTGTGAGCCTCCTCCCTGAAGGTCGCACCTGTTAACATCACCATGGCCGAATCCCTAAGATTCCACAGGCACTGTGGAGGACCGCAAACGCTCCGAGGCACAGCACTCGGGTGGCCACGCTGCACCTCGCCACCGCGGCTGGGTGCTTTCCAGAGGTCTGGGCGTCTCCCGAGGCGCGGGGGCTCAGGCACCAATGCAGGGGAGCCCGGAGGAACCCGCTGGCTGCCCTTTCTGCAAAAGGCTGCTTCCCCACACAGGAGCCTTTCGTTCCGCAGAGGCCAGAATCTGTGTCCACGAACCAGATCGCGGCAGCTTCCCCAGACCAAAACCTGCAAGCAGGCAGGCGGGCAGAACCGGCCTCTGAATACGGAGCGCGGGCACACGCGTAGACAGGTGCCGCGGGGGGCGCGCGGGCTGCACGGCGAGGCTGTGGGTGCGGGGAGGACCCGTTCCCGAGGATGGCGAAGGGGGGCTTCAGGCAAGCTCGAGAGGGCTTCGAGGAGCGGGCTGGTCGCTAGGTTCTTCCGGAGGGAAGAGGGGTCCCGGCTCGCCGCTCGCCCCCTGCGTTCCGTCTCCCGGGGACCTGCAGCTCCGCGCGCGCGCCGGGCCGCATCCGCTTTGCGGCCGGGAGAGGCGCGCGCTGCGACTCGGCTCCGTAGGATGCGCGCGGCGGGCGCGGGGAAAGCATGCTCCAGTGGCGCAATCGGTTAGCGCGCGGTACTTATACAGCAGTATATGTGCGGGTGATGCCGAGGTTGTGAGTTCGAGCCTCACCTGGAGCATGTTTTCTTCCCTTCCCTCTCTCAGGCCGCTACCAGCGGATGCATTTTTCCCTCCTTCTTGGAAAGCCGGTCATCTTTTCCACGGCGAGACCACTGAGAATTGCTAGAATTAAGGAGGACGCCGGGTCGATTTCACACTCGGCAAGGGAATTGAATTCACCTCTCGCGCCCACACCCGTTTCTCCTCCAGCGGGTGACCTCACAGTGGAGGTTGTACGGCCTCAAAGGAGCCCCCTCCTCAACCGCCCCCCTCCTTTGGCTAACCCGCTCTTCAGTTCCTTGCGGGCTGAGACGGGGGTCCCTCTTCCGCGATTCGTGCAGCCGCACCGGGATCCACAGGCCGGCGGGATCGGAGCTGCTCCCAGGGAGCGCTGCGGACCACAGGTGCGCTCACCTGCATCTGCGGCGTCCTCCGAGTCGCCCCTCCGCCCGGTGTGCAAGGACGCCAGTTCTCCCCCAGGAGCCAAACGTCTCTGACAGGCTTTTCTGCCTACTTTCATCGGAAAATGAGCAGTCTTGTTTGGAGAATTACTTCATCCTGACAGTGGCGTCTGAGATGGCGACTCCGCGTAGCTCGCTTTCACCGGTCCCGCCTGCGTGGTGTTTGGTCTCAGGAGCTTCCTTCTCTCCTGGACTCTGTTTCTCTCCCTGCTGCTTCCTGCCTGCAGCTTTTCTGTCCCGTGGTGATAGCGTTCTGTATTAGAGGGTTCTCCGCACAAACAGAACCGGAGCCCACGTGTAGATGGGTAAGAGCTGCTTTATTGTGGGGATTGGCTCACACAGCTGTGGAGGCTGAGAGATCCCAGGAGCTGCTGCCTGCAAACCGAGACCCAGGAGAACCTGTGTGACCCAGGCCGGCGTGGGAAGGCCCCTGTGGGTGCAGGGGCCCAAGCACTTGGGCCGTCCTCAGCTGCTTCCCCTGCCAGAAGCCTGCTGGAGCCCATATGGGATGGGTGGAGACTTTACCTGCTACTCCACCACACCAGCCCCTAGGGGAGTGTTTAAAGGCACAAAAGAGAAGGATTATGACATAATTTGGAACAGTGATCTTTGGCCACAGCGATTAAGACCCAGGGTGATGTTAGTTTGAGGATGAAAACGGTTGGCTAGGCAGGTGTCCCTGCAGAAATTCTTTTTGTTTAAGTCATACCACATAGCTATGGGGCCCTGTGGGCCATCGTGGCCTCAGGCAGGTCCCAGGCTTTGGGGAGAGAGAAAAACCAAGGGGAGCCAGCAGTGGGAACATAAGAGGGTTTTACTGAAGAAAGTGGCAAAGAATAGGCTTTACCCCAAAGACACAGCAGCCCTGAGCGCTGTTTCAGCTGTTTTAAGCGATTTGGCAAATGTATGCTAACATCGGGCAGAATATTCACCTTATTCCTGGGAAAGAGGCGACAACTTCCAGGAATTAGGGATCCACGTCTGTAGGTTACCATGGCAACTGTAAAATCATGCTCTTGAAGGGGTGTTGAGGTGGATTCGTTCTGAGAGGAGGAGCTCGGTGGGTGCAAGAGGCACAGACCCCGGGAGCAGGGTGAAGGCGGGCCAGAGGCGAGCAGCCAGCAGACTTGTTTATTTCAGTTGCTACAGCAGCTTATATAGCCAAGGCAGCCAATCCTGTCAAGGGGTGGTCTATGCCCTAACCAATCACAGCCTGTTGCCAGGCAGTTTCCGTTGCCAGCAGCCATCTTGGCATGGCCTTCTCATTCCACCACAACAGGAGTGATTTTTACCATGCTAATGTATTATTATGTTTTAAAGATTTATTTATTTATTGGAGAGGCAGAGTTACAGAGAGAGAGAGATTCCATCCACTAGTTGACTTCCCAAATGGCTGCAATGGCCAGGGCTGGGCCAGGCTGAAGTTGAGAGCCTGAAACTCCATCCAGGTCTCCTATAGGGGTGGCCGGGACCCAATGGGCCGTCTTCCGATGCTTTCCCCACCCCGTAGTATGCTAATGTAGTATGAGGGTGCGATAAGGGCTTAGGTCTCCTTGAGGTTAGATTAGGTGCCATCTTGGACTTAACTGATTCCAACCAGTTCTTTTGTCTGTCTCTGGTTTTTCAAGGGCTTCCTGGTGGGCAGAGCTGGGGCTTGGCTGCCACACGCTGTCTCTTAGGGGTGTGGTGGCCTCAGGGGTGAGGTGAGGTCGCAATTCTTGCAGCCTTCTGTGATAGTTCCTATCTGGCAATCTCACGTAAAACCCCTTTCTTCCTAATCTCCTGGCTTGCTTTACTCTTGTTGAGTTGACGCAGCACTACATTTGATTGTGACAATTCTCCCCTTTCTTTCACAGTTAAAATATTTTTGTGTACAAAGTTCCCTGTTTTTCCTATCCCTTACCCAGTTCCCCTCATAATGGTTTCTGTTTTTAGTTTCTTGGAAAAACATGATTATTTAAGTTCTGTTTGCCAGATACTGTTCTAGTGAGCATCTAAGGAGGATCTGCCTTCCTGGGAGTGAAGAACCGGGCCTGTGCTCTCAGTGACCAGGAGAGGATCTATGCCAGGCCTAGCAGTAGTCTTTCCTTATGGCCTATGGTCACATTAGCATGTTACCAGTGAATGGCAGGGTTCTTATCTTCGCGCAAGAAAGAATTCAAGTGTGAGACAGAGAGTAGTAGAAAGTAAAATAGCAAGGTTTATTAGGGAAGGGACATGCGTAAGAACGGATGGGCACCTCTCCAGACAGAACCTGAGAGAGAGTGCCCAGTCGCTCGGACTGGGGGAAGAGCGAGGTTACATGGTTGAGTGGAATACACCTGGCCAGGCCAGGCGGGCGGCTGAGCAGAGAGGCAGAGGGCTGAGCATGCAGTCCGGTTGAGGCCGGGGGTTTTTAAGGAGATGGGTCTTTGTCTTCACACATCTCCTCCTGAAACAAAAGACTTCATGGGTATAAATACTAGAAACCCCTATCTGAGTTTTCCCCCTGAAGTTATCAGACAGGAGGAAGCCTGGCTGGTGCTGCCCTGGGTTAGAGGAAGGGTGAGCAAGACCCCCTGGAGGATCAGGATTCAGAGCAGGCTATTTGAAATGCAGATACTGGGCTGCATCTGGAAGGTTATCAGGCAGAAGGGGCGGGACCCCCACCAGGCAGGTTATCTGGTAGAAGGAGCAGGGCAGGATGCAAATACTGGGCTGCCCCTGAAACGTTATTGGGATGACTTTGAGATGCATATGCTGGACCTAGATGTCTTCTCTTTAGGCCTTTGTCACACACACATAAGCTCATATCTGACTTGCTACCTAACAAACAGAACCGGCCATGGATTTAATTGGTGGCTTTGACACTGTATCAGTCAGCTAGGCATGGAGCCCAAACACATGGTAACCAATCAATAACCAAGCCCATGTGGAAACACTGTGCAGAAGCTTCTGTGAGCATCCTAGTTGGCAATGCTTGGTGCCTGTTGCACCGACACAGAATGGTAACACATATTTGGAACAATTTTTTCTTTCAGCTCATTTTCATGCGTAGCTGTCCCCTATAGCAAGCTACAGAGGATGACAGCTCTTGGTGAGTTCCTTCTAGTGAATCATGGAACCCAACACCGTTTTTGGAGTTAGGCAGTTGGGAGAGCACTGGGGGTCAGGGGTCAGAGGTGGCTGCAAGGTTGTTTACATTTTGGATCAGTTTGCCCTGGGGGAAGTTTCGTCTCCTTGAGTGAGAAGTGTTTATCTCTGTGTCTGGCTGATTTCTTAGGGATTGCAGAAAACTGAATGTAGCAAGCCCGGGATTGCTCTCCTTACACTAGCCTGCAAGCCTTGCCTTGGCGGGTGCCCTGCAGTGTAGACCTGGGGAAGCCTCACCTTTTCTCACGCTGCCTAAACGGTTGGTGTAAACCACGTGACTTCTGCTGAGCACCTGCTTTCTCTCTGGGTGTAGGGTTTGGGTCTGTGCCCGGCACGGCGAGTCCACATGATCAGCCCCACTTCTATCCTGGCTCTGAGTCACTAAGGAACTTCCCTGGGGATGTTCCCAACATGCTGTCTCACCTTCCAACTGGGAGCTGAGCTCATTGTGTGGGACTTAACGCCTGGTCTGCGGTAGCCCTGGCCCTGTGTACCTGAATTTTCTGTGTATGCTTTTGCTATAATAAATCAAGGCTGCACGCAGCGTCCTAAGGGATCTTCCAGGCAATCAATGAATGGTGAGGTGGCCTTAGACACCCAAGCACAGAGGCAAACAGTTCTAATCTCAATCATTCATGAAGAATGCGAAGATGACAAGGAGCTAAGGAGGAAAGTTCTGTGTTTGGCTGGCAGCAGGTTCAGGAAAAAAGGAAAGCTTTGTAGTTGATCTTATCAGTAACCAAACAGTCCTACATTGTAGGGGAGGTGGGGCTTATTGATTTCAAGTATCTCATGCATTTTTGATATAGCATATGTTAAATTGTTATTCCTTCAAATTTCCAAATAATGGATACTTAACATAAATATTCTGAATAATACAGGAAGAAAATTTCAAAAATCTCTTGCTCCTGCCAATCCTCCCTGTGGTCAGAACTTCTCTCACAAATAATCACTATTTTTGCTAGTGTGCTTACATTATATCATAGACAATTTGCTGAAAACAAGTTTATATTCTTAAGTTAACACATATGCCTAGTCCTTAATTTTTGCTACAGCTGATACTTCCATCATGGACATTAGTCTTGTCTTCATCATCTCCGCCCCCTTTCCTGCCCTCCATTTTTTTTTTTAAGATTGATTTTATTTATTTGAAAGTCAGAGTTACACAGAGAGAGAAGAGGCAGAGAGAGAGAGAGAGAGAGGTCTTCCATCCGCTGGTTCACTCCCCAGATGGCCTCAACGGCCAGAGCTGTGCCGATCCGAAGCTAGGAGCTTCCTCTCCCACACGGGTGCAGGAGCCCAAGGACTTGGGCCATCTTCTACTGCTATCCCAGGCCACAGCAGAGAGCTGGATTGGAAGAGGAGCAGCCAGGACTAGAACTGGCACCCATATGGGATGCCAGCCTTCAGGCCAGGGCTTTAACCCACTGCACCACAGCGCCAGCCCCATTTGCCCTCCATTTCTTACAGAGGCCATCTTCTTGCAGTCAAATTAATATTTGTATAATTTCAAATGGCATGGAGGCCTGTTTCAGATCCTAATTATTAGGCATTGTTTAGATTAAATTTAGTCAACCAAATTACAAGTTCCCTCCTAAATTCATTTCTCAAGGTTACTAAGAAGACCAAGCATGAAAGAACCAAAATCTATCAGTGAAATCTTAAGCTCTAACCAGGAGAATGTAGCAGATACAGAATTAAAGAAAAGAATGATTACAAATATTTAGATTGTATTCCCTAAAACCTCATTAACTGAGCATCCTGAATAATGAAAAAAATCTCATGAACAAAAATGGTAATCAATGTCTATACACCATTTCACAAGACATTCCAAGCTGCAGACAGGAGACACTCATTTTATAATTGCAAAGGAATTAGTCCATTTTTGTTTTCAAATAGTAATGACAGCACTTTTTTCTGTGTAAAACAGCATAGGCACTGATTTTATTAGGATTAATATATACACTGAGTAATCCAGTATCTGAAATCTTCCTTAACAAAGACAGAGACTTCTGTGGTTAACATGGATACCCCTTCATTCTTTTAAGACAAGTTCACAAATTAAATTCTTGTTATGAAATTTGAGCTTACCTGTTACATTTGAGTAAAATTATGCAGGATATAGAATTCTGAAATTCCCAATATAAGAAAGGATACTATATGAACTAGAATTACAAAATCATATTTTAGGGCCAGCATTGTGGCATACCCAGTTAAGCCATCGCCTGCAATGCCAGCAACCTACATAGGCATTGGTTGGAGTACACACTGCTCCATTTCTGATCCAGCTCCCTGCTAATGTGCCTGAGAAAGCATCAGAAGATGGCCCAAGTGCTTGGGTCCCTGCCACACATGAGAGACTTGGATGGAGTTCCAGGAGCTTGGCTTCAGTTTGGCCCAGCTCTGGCCACTGGGGCCACCTGGGGAGTGAACCAAGTAGATGAAAGATCTCTCTCTCTCTAACTCTGCCTTTCAAATAAATAAATTTTTAAAAAGATTTTATTTATTTGAGAAGTAGAGTTACAGACAGTGAGAGAGACAGAAAGAAAGTCCGCTGGTTCACTCCCCAAATGGCCACCATAGCTGGAGCTGGGCCATTCCAAAGCCAGGAGCCAGGAGCCTTTTCTGGGTCTCCCACACGGGTGCATGGACCCAAGGACTTGGGCCATTTTCTACTGCTTTCCCAGGCCATAGCAGAGAGCTGGATCAGAAGAGGAGCAGCCAGGACTAGAACCAGCACCCGTAAGGGATGCCAGCACCACAGGAGGATTAACCTACTGCGCCACAGTGCCAGCTCGTATAAATAAATATCTTTTAAAAATCATATTTATAAACATATTGGAGTTTTATAGTGTGAAAATAAAAGGAAAACCATGGTGAAAGCAGCATTGAAAGAATAGTTTAAGAGTAGATTTGCAGTAGGGGTTTGGCACAGCGGTTAAGACACCCTCACCCCTCTGAAGGAAGGAGTGCTCAGCTCCAAGTCCTGAGTCCAGCTTCCTACTAACGCACCCGGAGGCAGCAGGTGATCACTCAAGCACTTGGGTCCCTACCAACACAGTGCAAAGCTGGGTTGAGTTCTGGGCTCTGCTTTGTTCTAGCCTAGCCCTGGTTTTTGTGGACACTTGGGGAGTGAACCAACAGATGGAACATCTCTGTGTGTGTGTGTGTGTGTTTCAGCCTTTCAAATATATGAGAACAAATAACAAATTTTGTAAAAATAGTTTGGAGGCCATAAGGAAACAAGATTTTAAGGAGTGAACTTAAAAAAAGGAGATAGAAGATCTCTCTCTCTCTCTCTCTCCCCCCTCCCTATCTTTTGAATACATGAAAAAAAATTTAAAAATTTTTACCAAAGTGGAGCCCAGGAGGCCCTAAGGAAGCAAGTATTATGCTGTTGCCTGAAATACAAACTTTGGTTACCCTCTGTCCCTCAGATATCTGTAATGACCAAAATGACCAGATGATTACATTGTGCCCAGAGGCTCAAGGTGTGTATCAAAAGCTTGTCAGATTCCTGTTTTATGGCCATGTGTCCACCTGTTTACATGTTCTTTCCTTCTCTTCTATCCGTCTTGTGGCCCCTGTGCCTCAGAATGCAAGCTGTCACTTTTCCCACCTCCTACAGAGCTGGCTGAGCCTGTGTCTCCTGAACCGCAATTCTTAAGACCTCAAAGTCCTTTTACTTTGCAGTTTCTGAGTAGCTGGACCGATGGACAGTGGAAACAATGATGGCTGCTGAATGGGATTCCAGAGAATGGAGACTCGGTGGTGAGCCTGGCGACTGCTAGGCTGTCTGTTTTGTTTTGTAACATACTGAGACTGGCTTGGCTCGCATAGAAGGACTGTTGCAGAAAAGAGAAACTAGAAAGGATTTGGGTAGGTAAAGAGCTGACATGACAGAGGATCCCAAACGAGCCAAGTGTTCCTGATGACACAGCCGACAGATTTGGAGACTACACATGGGCACCTGTGGAGTTTAACCAAAGGCTTCTCTATCCAGGATAAAATCTTCTACCCTCTTGCTGTGTGTGAAACACAAAATCCTGCTGGAGAAATCCTCTTTGTCACACATAGAACTGGTCTCGCTCTCAGGACATTTGCCGGATTTGAAAATATGCCAGATTGGAGACTAAAAAACTCAAAACATCCGAGAGGCAGAACTACACCCCAAATGGACTTCCAGAGCCAGAGAAAAACATCTGTGTTGGATGTGTCACAAACTCAAGATGTTCATAGAGCTCCGGGGACAAGGACACACTGGAGTTGGTGATGCGAAGATTTAAATACTGTGATTAGCCAGCCTGGATGCATCTAGAACAACACACAGGGGTGCATGTAAAGCAACGCGTGTGGAACACATTCTATAACGGACCATGCATTGAGTCGTAAATCAAGTTTCAGAGAACTCCAAGGATATTCTCTTGTACCATATTAGAATTTAGTTATAAACCAATGGAAAAATAGTATCCAGGAAGTCTCAAAATAATTTGGAATTCAGCAGTAAACACATTCAAAGTAACTTTTGGATCAGAAAAGCAATGAAATGTAATGTAGGAAATATATGGAATTGAATGATAAAGTTGTGATATATTAAAATTGGTAGAATGCTGAGAGGAAACATCACATCTTTAAATGTATGTGTTAGAAAGAGGTTGCAAGTCAAATATTTAAGTGTCTACCTCAATAAGCTAGATTAAAGAATAGCTAACTAACCCTAAGAAAGTAAAAGGAAGTTCTTTGTAAAGATTCATAGAAGCAATAAATCATTAGCAAAATGATTAAAAATGAAGAGAATATAAATTACCAATATCAAGATGAAACAGATGTCATTATTAACACTTTTGTGCCAACGAAGTTAACAATTTAGTTGAAATGTATGAAAAACTCTATTTTCCATAATAGACACAGAAGAAAGAGAAAATCTTGTCTCTAATTTGAAATGCTCCTACAAAGAAGACTTTAGGCCCATTTAACTTCACTGGTGAATTCTTCCAAATATTTAAGAAATAAGTAATACAAATCATGTACTAACTCTAATGGATAAAAAGAGAGAATTTCCAACTTATTTAATAAAGCACGCTGCTGATCTCAAAACCTGACTGGGACATTGCAGAACTAGAAATCTACAGGTCAATAACCCTGAGGAAGGTGGGTGGGAAATTCCAAACAATATATTAGCCAATGGAATCCAGTCATGACCACATGGAACATAGTCCATAAATAAGGTTGGTTTGACATATAAAAATTATATAGTTTGCTATACTAAATATTAAGGGAGAAAAATTATATGCACATCTCAACAGACACAGAAAAATAATTTTAGGTTCAAACTCACTCATAAGTACAATTCATACAAGCTAGGAATAACACATATCTTTAAGCTAATGAAGAGCATCCAGGAATGAACCCTACAGCTAACCTTTCACTCATAGTGAGAACATGAAATCTTTGTCCTCTGAGACTAGGAATAGGGTTACCCACTATATCACAACCACTGTTCACATTGTGCTGAGGTTCTAAACAGTGTTACAAGGTAAGATAAAGAAAAGTTGTAAAGACTATGAAGAAAAAAAGAAAGAGCACATGTGAAATTTTATACATAAAAATTCCAGTTGTCAACAATGAGCAGTACTAAGTGGCTATACAAAAGTCAATGGCATATCTTCACACTAACAATAATTATAAATGAGATTTAGAAAGAAATAACATTCACAAATATTAAAAATAGAGCAGTTACATCTTTAAAACACTGAACATTGTAGACAGAAATTAAAGAGACCTAAATGAAGAAGGAATCTACCAAGATTCTGGGCCATGAAGAGTCATTCTTACTATTTTATCAGTGCTTCCCAAACCTAACTACAGTTTCCATGTAATAAGCAATTAGTAGGTTTTGTTTTGTGTGTGTGACTCTGTGTGTGTTGGGAGTGGGGAGCAGTGGGAGACTGATCATTGCTTCTGAAATTTATATTAAAATAATAATATAGGGAAAGAGGGCCCCTGAGCAGGATTAAAGAAAAAAAAAGAGTGGACTTTGGGCAAATTCCAGGAAAAGTCCACCCCTCTGGGGAAGAACAAAAAGTAAGAAACACAATTTAGAATAGAGCAAAGGAAAAAAGAGGAGCATACAGCACCTAAGGCAAGTGTGTGGGAAACATTAACCAAGCACTGAGCCTTCCTGCACAGAGAGAGATGTGTGTGTGTGTGTGTGTGCTTGGCAGGGGTCCAACTACCGACCCCTCCCCTGTTCCTGGACAGAGGCAGGGGAGCAGATGCACACAGGACCCCTACTGCATGAACTAGGTGAGGGGCAGGAAAGGGAGGAGAAAAATACAAGGGAAGAGACCAGCCCCGCAGGGGTCAGCAGATTCCCAGCTCTGGGGCCCCTCTCCACGTGGGGAGCTTCTGTCATGTGTCACAATTAAACTTGCTTTCCCTCTGGCACCCTCTTTCAGATCTTTCTCTCTATTTCGATATTGAGCAACAAGTCTGTGGACCAGGAGAAGCTGCTCCCTACAACCAGGAGGTGACAATAACACTTGAAAATCCAGAACAGCTAAGGCAATCTGGAGAGTGGGAGCAATACTAAAGGCCTGTTATTATTACTTTAGCATTACAGAAATGAAAACAGAATGGTATGCTCCAGACACGTAGTCCAGAGGGCAAAGTTGAGTCAGAACAGACACAACAGCACACCATTTCACTTTATAGCAAAGGACACATTGCACCTCTCTGGGGAAAGGACTGATTTTTTTTCAATAAGTAATGCTTGGTCCTTCGAAATCATACGTGAAAAAGTGAGGTAGATCCCTATCTCACACCATACATAAATTAAGACAGAATATAGATATTATGGTTTAAAGTAAAACAATAGAGCTTCTGGAAGAAAAAACAGGAGAATAGCTTAAAGACCTTGGTTTAGGCAAGTGTTTCTGAAACAGCATGGAAAATGCACTAACCATAAATATTGATAAACTTGATTTCATTAATATTCAAAACCTCAAAATACAAAGTTTGGAGAACCAGTGGCATTCCACGAACTGGGAGAAGGAATTTGCAGTACCTTCTGCAAATATCCTGCAAATACCTACACATACACCTGACAAGAAAGTTGTATTCATCCATGTGCAACAAGCTCCTACAAATCAAAAAGATAGGCAATCAACTCAATTTTTAAATAAAAATATGGAAAAATATAAAATATGATTATCCATCAAAACAAGCAAGTTAAAATCACAAAGGACTATCACTACATCCTGGGCCAAATGGTTAACATTAAAATGACTGACCACCCCAAGTGTTGGCTGGACTGTGAAGCAACCAGAAGCCTCATATTTTGTTGTTAGTTGTGTAAAATGGCATTCATTTCTGGAAAACTGTTTAGCAGCATCTGATAAAGTTAATGAAGTTAAGCCTATGAGGACACTTCAAAAAGTTCATGGAAAATGGCATTAAAATATGTTTATTTTTGTGTCAAAAATTTTGAAAGTCATGCATGTATTTTTAATAAATATTTTCATAAAATTTGAAGACCTTTTATATGCATGAGTTTTCATTTTTTGCATAAAATTAAAACTATATCTTAATTTCACCTTTTTCACAAAGTTTTGGAAGTACTTTGTGCATACTTCCTATGACTTAGAATGACATCTGTCTGTCTATAGGATAAATGAGCCCTTATGGGTCACTTAAAGCTGTGTGCAAGAAAGTTCAGAACAGTGCTTTTTATAATAACTCCAAACTGGAAACAATTCAAATTCCTATCGACATTAGAATGAATCCATAAATCGTTATATATCTATAAAATGCAAGTTAATGAAAGGCAAGAAGAGGCCCTTGCAGCTGAGAGAGAGACAGAGAGAGAGAGATGAATTTCAAAGACAGTATTGAGTGGGAGAAGCCAGTCACATAAGATTGCAATCTGTATTTCACCCAAAATACATGAAATTAAGGTGCACAGGATGCGAGAGTTGGGAGCAGTGAGTAACTTTGGGACAGGAACTTGTAAAATTCTCCAAGTTGCACACTGAGATTTTTGTACTTGATGGAACCTATACTGTTGAACAGAGAACAATGAATCAGAGGTGCCTGGTGTCCCTACGGCGTTGTGCTGCACTCCACCAAGTGTTCCACTGCACCAGGACGCTCTGGCTCAGCAAGCCCCTGTGCCCACCCAATTTATATCCTCAGAACCACACGTGTCGTCTTGCCTTTTCTGAAACGAGACATCCCAAGAAGAGACTAGAAAGTCAAGAGAAAACTATTTGACAGTGACATACCAAGGCGTGACTCCACGGGCAGCCGAAATAGCTCAGTTGGGAGAGCGTTAGACTGAAGATCTAAAGGTCCCTGGTTCGATCCCGGGTTTCGGCAGCCGATGACTGCTTTTTGCTCAGTTCGTCGACCTCGGTAGTGTTCGTGAAACACAGACTGACCTTTGTGGCAGCTGTTCCGCGGTGTTGTTGCCTGTAACATAGGTTGGGAGCACTTCAGAGGCAGCCGAAATAGCTCAGTTGGGAGAGCGTTAGACTGAAGATCTAAAGGTCCCTGGTTCGATCCCGGGTTTCGGCAGTCAGTGACCGCTTTTTGCTCAGTTCGTCGACCTTGTCGTTGCCTGTAACATGGGCTGGAAACACGAAAGGTCTGTTTGATTACACACAGGATACTTTGTGGGGAAGATAAAAAAGAACTCGGTTGCTGATCAAAAGCCGAGACCCAGGGAGGTTCGCCTTTTTGTTGTCTTAATCGGTTTTTAATCCTGTCCTCACGGGTGAGCGACTTCTTGGCCTAACGACCCAGCAGCGCAGGGAAGACCAAGGAGACAAAACCTGCCCCAGCTCGTTCTGGAAGTGACGATGGCCCCTGCGTGGGAGAGGAGGAAGCCAGAGGCTCTGGGGTCCTCGGAAGCGCCCAGGGGATTCCAGCCTCAGGGAGCTCTCCCAGTCCTGCCTTTGTCTAACTTTTTTTTTTCTTGAAAAGAACTCCGGATTGATATGAAATATCCGTCTATTTTATAGGGTGCAGTGCAATATTCAGCACACACACACCGACCACGCCAGGCCCTCAGCCTCTCCCGTCGTCGATCTAGAGCTACTCACTGTTCCGCCCGCTGCCTGCGCCGACCGCCGGCCCTCGCGCCCAGCCTCTCGTCGCCGGGATTTCAAATCCCGCGTGTCTGCGTGCACGCACGTTCACTCCGGAGGGAAAACGTGCGGCCTTGGGTGTGTCGCGCTTACTTACCCCGCGCGGTGCTGCAGCCGTCACGGCCGAGTCGCGGCAGCTCGTGTCGCGGCGGGCCCGAGGCGGGCCGTGGGGCCGGCGGTCGTGCTGCCGCGCGGGCGCGGTCCCGGGGCCTCCCTGGGCCCGCGGCGAGAGCGGGAGGCGCCGGGCCCCTGAGCGCGCTCTCGGCGCGTCCTGAGCGCGCCCCCGGCGACCGCCCCCGGGGGAAGCTCCAGTCCGCGCCGGCGCCCGTCTTCGCGGCTTTCTCCTCAGCCGCTAGGACGCTGCGGTGCTCGGCACGCGGCGGGCGCCGGTCCGCAGGAAAGTTCGCCAAGAACTCACCGCCTGTCCGGTGCGGCCCCAGGACGCGTGCCGCGCCCGCAGCTTGGCGTCTGTGGAAATGGCGTGAAGGCCTTTTTTGAGGAGAATGAGGGAAAAAAGAATTTCCTTTAATCTTTATTGAGACGTAAGGACACCAGAAACTTTTTTTGTACTTTAACTAAAAGTGGCCTTCCAGCGGCAGGCCGGTTAGCTCAGTTGGTTAGAGCGTGGTGCTAATAACGCCAAGGTCGCGGGTTCGATCCCCGTACGGGCCAGGGTCCGTTATTTTGGCTTCCTCCGGGCCAGTGTCCCAAAACCGACTTTCACACTTTCCTCTCTACCAAAGGACAGGACAACCCCCTTTTGTTTCGCTTTTATTTCTTCATTTTTAAATAGAAGTGACATACACGCGCTGGGAAGTTTATCCAGGAACCTGAGCGGAGGGGCGTGGGAGAGAGGCGGGCGTCCCGCGCGGCGACCGCCGGGCCCAGTCGGCTTCCGGGGCGTCCGCGCGGCCTTCCTCCTCGGAGCCAGCCGCCCGCTCCGCGGAAGGTCCAGCTGCCCGACCCGGGCGCCCCGGGCGCGCTCGGGAACCCGCGCCGCCTCCGCCGCGGCGCACCCTCGCGGCGCGGCCCCGGGTCCAGCCCGAGGAGTCTCCCGCCGCCCGACGGGGCTTTCCCCGCGGAGGGGGCGCCGCATCCCCTCCCGGGGCTCCTTGTGAGGGGTCCGCTCGGAGGGCGGCCGCGTCCCGGGGCCGCGTCGCGCAAGCAGGCGGCAGGAGAGGCCCGCCGAGGCCGACTTGCGAGTGTGGAGAAGACCGCGGGCAGGATCTTGTCCCGAGTCCCTCACAGCTGCTTCGTTTGCAAGAACGTCTCACGGCAAGGCCCGGCAGAGCCGGTAGAGGGAAAATTACGTTTCCGAAGCCCCTTTTCCCACTTGGATCACCTCGGGAGGGCACTTGAAGGATTTGCAGCCTCGTGTCGACGTGAGTTCGGTAAAAGCGCCCGGAAAAGGTTAGGCCCGCCGAGCCAGCCAGGAGTCGAACCTGGAATCTTCTGATCCGTAGTCAGACGCGTTATCCATTGCGCCACTGGCCCGCGCCCGCAGGATCCGCCAGAACATTAACGCTTTCTTTCCTGCACGGCCGGGCCCGGCCAGGCGAAGCGCTGTGCTCTTGACGTAGACCGGGAGGAGAACCCCAACCCGCGCTCATCTGACGACAGCGCGGCTTAGCCTGCGGCCGGCGAGTGTGCGGCGCATTCCCCGACGTGAGTGTTTGGAGAACGACCGTGTGCGTGTCTGAGACGTCGCTCTGTCCTGGGACGTCTTTCCTTCGGAGCAGCGTTCATTCGCGCGCGTGTGTAGTCTTGCGCTCCTCATTACGTTTTTCCTGTCCAGTCATCTGCTTGCAGCCGACTTTATTTTTTTTCCTCACTTACACTGGACACTGATGATGTATATGGACGGCCGAGCAATTTAGATGTTGCAAAAAAAAGTGCATTTAAATCCATTTCTGGAGGCACACGTCATACTGTTTCTCTTCTCGTACCAAAAGGAGTAAAAAACTCACCGCCCACTACAGAGAAACTTGTTGTAGAACGGTGTTACAATTCAGTGATGCCGGTAAAACCACTCAAATTAAAAAAAAAAAAAAAAGAGGGAAGAGGAATTCAGTAAAAGGACTATACGTTTTGAGGACCAGGCAGTCAGCCAGCAGCACATATACAACCGGCTTAACACCTGCTTGGCTGCTCAGAGCAGGCGAAATGGCGGCGAACGGGGCTGGACGAGCAGAGCAGGCGAAATGGCGGCGAACGGGGCTGGACGAGGGGCTGGAGCTCCCGAGCTCGCGGCTTCCCGGAAAACTGAGTTAGGAGCTGCGCCCTACGGAGTCCAGCGCGCGGGCTCGGACGGACGAAGCTCAGCGAAAACAGGACAGAAAACGCTAACGCTGTGAGCAGGATTCGAACCTGCGCGGGGAGACCCCATTGGATTTCGAGTCCAACGCCTTAACCACTCGGCCATCACAGCGGCGGGACTGCCGGCACTCCTCGGGTCCCTCGCAGGTCTTCTCCCCGCGGCGCGCGCGTCAGGTGGGGCCGCCGCCGCCGCCGCCGTCGAAAGGGTTTCTTCCTCCGCACAGGCGCCGCACCTCACGCACAGGCGCCGCACCTCACACCCAGACTTCCTCCAGAAGGTCTGTGCAGCCGGGCGGCGGAGGGAACTAACCCCGGGTTTCATCCGGAGACCCTGCCGAGCAGACAAGTCCGCGAACGTGGAAGCGCCTGGACGTCCCCGCGTCGTCCCCTCTGCGGTCCGGAGCCGCACAGAAGGTCTGTGCAGCCGGGCGGCGGAGGGAACTAACCCCGGGTTTCATCCGGAGACCCTGCCGAGCAGACAAGTCCGCGAACGTGGAAGCGCCTGGGCGTCCCCGCGTCGTCCCCTCTGCGGTCCGGAGCCGCACGCTGGCTGAGGCTGTGCCCTGCAGCTCCCAGCGGGGAGCGTTAGCGTCGGCCCCTCCTCTCAGCCCCTTGGCTTCTTGCAGCGGAGCCCCCATTTTTGTGCTTGCCCCTTTTGTCATTTCTAAGCTGGTCTCCCCGTCTCAACCAAGAGCTCCTGGAGCCGTGACGGACGTTTGATTTTCACCTGTTTTCTGACTCCACGCGCCGGAAACTTTCTTGGTGCTTACAAGCTGCTTTGATGCTTAGACAAGTCCCCAAGAGCCCGGTGATCTGTTTCCTGCTCCTCACCCCTCGCCCCAGCATCCGTTCGAGTCGCGCCTTTGCAACCCTCTCAGCTCCTGAGGTGGCTGTGCTCTGGCAAAGCAAGGCACGGTCTGGACACTGGACACGGCACACAGCACTGGCAGGTCTCACTCTGTTCAGACAGTGAGCGCCAGGTGGACATCTTCAAGGCTGCCAGGTGGTTGTTCTGCGACGATCTGTGCGAATTACTCCTCCCGTCCTCCGTCTCTCATCCTGAGCTCCAGCACCTCCTCTCCCCCATCAGGCGCACCCGAGGGCATTGCTTTCTACCTCTCTGAGAAAAGTAACCATCAGAAGAGAACTTCCATAAGCATCACCAGCGTCCCCCCACTGCCAGCCCCGGGAGAACTGCAGCAGTCCTGCAAGCGCTTGTCAAGGTCACCGGGGACTGGCATGTGCCTAACATTTCCCCTGGCCTGCCTCTTACCTGGCACACAAGTAAGTAGCTTTCCATACGTTCTCCTGAAAGTGCTTCCTTCGGCTGATTTTACGGTAACAATTCTTATGACCACCTTCCACTTAGAAATATGCAGTTAACGTTCCTCCATGTCTTTTCGCGGATTGATAGCTCATTTCTTTTGGTGCCAAATAATATTCCATTGTCTGAACCCACCACGGTTTATCAATGCAGGTTACGTATGGAATGACAAATGTATTGGTTGTTCCCACCTTTTGGTGATTACAAAAGGTGCTATCAACATAGCATGAAGGTATTTATGGAGACATGTTTTCAACGCCTTTGGGTGGGTGCCAAGGCATGTAGTTACTGGATCATATGGTATACATATGTTAGGTTTTGTAAGAAATGGTCAAACTGCCTTTCAAATTGTTTGTAACATTTTTCCCTCCCACCAGCAATGATAGTTTCTGTTGTTCGGCATCCCTGCTTGTCAGCATCCGCTGTTGTCAGCGTCCTGGACTTTGCCATTCTGATAGAAGTGTAGGGTATCTCACTGTTGCTCTAGTTTGCATCTCCCTGATGACACATGATGTTCATATGCTTCGGAGAGGACTTCAAAAAATTCATAGAAATAGAATTAAAAGAGAAGAGTATTTCAATGCAAGCAGTTTTTAAATTTTTAACTACTCACTGATTTGAAAGAGAAACAGAGACAGAGAGAGAAATCTTCTGTCACAGGTTCACTTCCCAAACACCTGCAACAGCTGGGGCTAGGCCAAGCCAAAGCTGGGAGTCGCAGTGCTTCAGCCAGCATCTCAGGGGCTCAGTCCTTGAACTCCTTCTTTTCTCTATTTATACTTGTCCGGGGTGGGGGGGAGGGGAAATCTCACCCGGCCTCACAGCTAAATTAACGTGCACATGCTGAGAACTCACTAGTTTGCATTTCTAGCCTGAGTCTCTTCCCTAAACTTCAGGCTGGTAGAGTCAACCTCCCACCTGATGTTTCAGCTTCAGAGTCTAACCATAAACATCTCTGCTACAAACTGACTCCTTAGGGCAGCCAGGAAACCTGCTTCACTACGAGGCTTGCATAGTTCACTTATTGGCAATTTCAAGTTTTTACACTTTCAGGCAAGAGATCTTGGCAACATTCTTGGCCGGTTACTCTTTTCTTCCACATATACCAGGGAATTCTCTTTGTTCCACATTTAGAATGTATCCAGGTTAACAAACTTCTTCCCAACTTGACTGCTACCACCCTGGTCCAAGACACCTTCTTCTCTGACATGGAATATTGCAAAGCTCTGTTTTTTAGTGTTTCTTTTGCCCATCCCAGTCCTACAAAACATTCTATGCAAAGCAGTCAGAGCCTTTGTGGCACAGTTTTACAAAAAAAAAAAAAAAAAAAAAAAAAAAAAAAAGTCAGCAACATCTCCTCGTTTCATCAGAGTGGATGCCAGGGTCTTTGCTGAGCCCATGTTGTTGTCTATAACTCACTCCTCCTTGCTCATCTGCTGCAGTTGGCATTGGCCTTTTGTTTTCCCATGAATATAACAGGCACATCACTGCCCCAGGACCTTAGCACTGACCGTTGCCTCTATTGGAATCACTCCTGCTTTGATATGCGTGTGGCACAGTCCCGTACCTATCTCATGTCTTTTCTCACATACCACCTTGTATGTGTACCCTTGTAGGTAAAACTGTAAACTCCCCTCATGCCAGTCCCAGTAACAAGCATTACAGTTGTGAGAGTTTCCTGCTGGTCTCTGTGTCCTCAGAGGGTCGTGATTCTGGGCTTCTCTGCCTCCTCCAGCCCTGTCAAAGTCACTTGTGTGTTGTACACTCAGCTCCAACCTCTTACCATCCATGACTTTCTGTAGACTCCCTTCTTCCAGAAAATCGTAACAGCGGCGGACACATCAGCCTCACATGGACACAGACACTGGAACAAGGCAGAGGGAAACTGCTGGTGTACCCTGGGGCAGGCAGGGGAGGTCATGACTGCAAGCTCTCCTTCACAGAACCTGCTATTCCTACAAGCTCACTGGTGCACTTTTACACATGGCTTTCCATTGGGACCACCAGAGCCATTTACTGGTCTGAATATCAGCTCTACTTCAGGTGTGCTGAGGGTTCTGGGGTTGCACAAGCAGTTAAATCAGGGAAATCCAAAGAATAACTGGAAGGGCCCCTTCCTAAAGCTGGACAATCCTGGGAGCTAGCCTCATCAACCTCGGATAACCTCATGGTGTTAGGGCACAGCTATGGGTAGTGATTTATCATGGAATTGTCCCACTTCCACCTCTGTCTTCTATGACAAGGAACCCGGGTTTCCCAGCAAGGCTTAAAGACACGCAGGGGGTAAACGCAGGTTTCCTCCATATTCAGCAGGTGGCATCTCTTCTACTTTGCACCAGGTGAAATCACAAAAGAAGGCAGCACAGGCCCTGCTGGGATTTGAACCCAGGATCTCCTGTTTACTAGACAGGCGCTTTAACCATCTAAGCCACAGAGCCAACCCTGAGGGCAGTTCTAATGGTGTATTATTTGAATTTAATTTCTTTTTTAAAACTTATTTAATGACTATGAATTTCCAAAGTACAGCTTATGGATTACAATGGCTCCCCCCCCCCCCGAATTTAATTTCTTATTTCTATACACTGCAACAGAGTAACCACTTTGTCAGGCAATTTGCCAACAAGCCAGAAAGGCCAAAGCCAAAGAAGAGATTTAGGAGGATGAACACAGGGCCGGGTTGCAAATGGCTGGCTCCCCTTGGGAAACGGTTCCACCGTCTTCACCACTAGGCTCAGGATAATCTCTGGTGGCCATGCTTTGTGCAGCTGCAGAGGATTTGGGGTGAAGAAGCAGTCAAAAGTTAGCATGTGTGTGACACTTGTTGCTGTAAGAATGTGATATGTGACACACCTGACACTCCTCATGGCGTCCATAGCTGCACCGATATCAGCTGTCCAGGGCTCACTGCTCAGTCCCTGTCTGGGGTCGCTCACACCCACTGACCTCAGCACGGTTCTGAGGGCTCCTTCCTGGTTCTGATTCGCCAGTGAGACCTGTGGGGGCCTCTGTAGCAATGCACCCAGCTTACCTTGCCCCCTTGATCCTGCCCACTCTCACGGGTGTCAGTGCAGAGGGCATTCCTGGAGAAACTGCTGTCCGCGAGCTTCCCAGGAAACTGACCCACCACAGCAAGCAAGGGGTGACCCCTGCTTAGGCCTGTTGACCTCAACGTCAGCGGGAACGTGGCTCAAGGCTTCATAGCAAGTGTCCCTCAGGAAAACAATAATGCCTTGTTTTTGCAGACTTTGAGTATTTTCACCACAGGGCAAGACAAGTGACACCCAACTCAAAAGTTGTACAAAGTTAGTGAAAAGGAGAGGGGAATAGCTAATAAGTCATGGCAGTGAAAAGGAAGGTTAGAAAACAACGCAGATTTGGATAGCCAAAGGATATTATCCTCATTTCAAGGAAAACTGTGAATTCTGAGTATGAAACTATTGTTCATCCGTCCTACACATCCCAAGGAAGATCTGATAACACACAGCACTCCCAAGTGTTCGTAGAGAGTAGAATTAAAAGATAAGTTTGTTGTAGTGCAGAACTCTGAAGTCTCTAGTTTTGTTCAAATGCTCAAAGACCTTTTGAAGATCCCTCTGATGCCTGGAATTAAAAACCTTTGTGCAGCAAAATGAACTGATCCTTTGATTCCATTTTTCCTTTTTTTTGGAGGAAAATGTCTACCTGGAGAGGTAGGGCATGAGGAAGGCTTTAGGCATGTGCACCGACAGATTAATGTTTGAAAATCTGATGAAACAGGCGCGGAGGAGGAGGGGGGAAGCAGACGTGCCCAGGATGAGCTACTCCGCGAACTCGGCGGTCTGGGTCGGTCCCGGTTCCGCGGGCTCAGGCTCGCTCTGGGAGCCGGTCGGCGTGCGTGGAGCCCCGGCCTCCCGGGGAAGGGGTGCGGAGGTCTCCTAGCGCCTGCGGCTTCGGGGCGCCGAGGTGCGGGGGCCGGGTCTCCAGAGAAGCATCGCGCGCTGGGTAGTGAACCAGGGAGAAGGCGGGGATTTTTTTTTTTTTAAGACTGCTTTTAAATTGCTTCAGATTTTGTTTTCCCAAAGAAATCCGAGTTAGTGATAGTGTCGTTTATATCTTCTAAATGGGACAAGCAGCACCATGCGCAGTGGCCGGTTAGCTCAGTTGGTTAGAGCGCGGTGCTAATAACGCCGAGGTCGCGGGTTCGATCCCCGTACGGGCCACTTAGACTTTTGTCCTACCTGCAAAGCAAAACTACACTGCAGACCCAACAGGTGACAGCTAAGTTCTCTCTTCTTTGTTGGCGTCCCAGTCTCGGCTGAAAATGTTGAATCACGTAACCATTGCTCACAGGGCCGGTTAGCTCAGTTGGTTAGAGCGTGGTGCTAATAACGCCAAGGTCGCGGGTTCGATCCCCGTACGGGCCACTTGGGCTTTTTGTGCGAGCAGGAACAGGAAACCAGCTTGCGTCAGATATTTGCGCTCGCAAAGGTTGATGTGCATTGCGTGCAGAAATGGCCCTCCCGTGCCCTTTCTCTGCAAGCTACACAGGTCCCTTACTGGTTCCCCCGGAAGCAGGGTTTTTAGGATCTGTATCTTCACTTTTCTCCTTTAGTTGCCCCAAGTAAATAAAGCTTCCTTCTGGGCACCACTTGAGGCTGACTGGTGACACCCCAAGCAGATGGACCTATTGCATCAACTCAAGAAATTGATGAAGCCAGGTGGGCTCGCTCCTAGCCACGGGGAGCAAAGCGGTTGCCAGGGACAGCTGGTCCAGGGCGTGTTTGCTCTTGGGGAAGCGTTGCCAGCGCTGGTTGGCACGGGAGTTCTCGCTAGGTGCCTGGCGGTCCCCAGGTGCTGACTCGGCGATCCAAGGAATGAAGTGGCCACCTGGACCCCGCTCTGTCCAGCACCCCGTGGTTTCCAGGTGTTAGGGGCCTAAGTCGCTTAATCTTTATTCCAGATTCTTGCCCCCACAGATAAA